GTTTCACTGGGTGCATTTAATAGGTATTGAGTGAATGAAGGAATGAATAACCCTTTTCTCTTTTCTCATAGCCCATTTTCCCATAGCCCCCCAAATTCAGGCTGTCCAAGAACTCTGACCACAGAAGCATCAGCTCCACCAAAGAGGAAGGAGATCCACCAAAGAGGAAGGAGACAGAGGGAGAGATAGGGACCTCATTAGCAGGCTGTCAACAGGCTTTTAGGGCTGCAGGGAAAACTACGGAGAAGGGCAAGATAAGTGAGAGTTCTTGGCTCTCTGTGTCTTGTAAAATGAAAAAGGCAGATTGCGTAGCTTGGGGCTAACTTCAGCCTTGGGTTTAAACTCAGACCCTTAATTAGGCTGTCTGGATCTGTTTTAACATCATGTCAAAGGAGTCCAAAATTGTGAGTTGGAGCCTTGACTCTGTTCCGCAAGCTGAGCTCTGCTTAGCCTCTGCCAGCTGCTTAATGGGAGAATGATCTAGAGAGAAAATAAATGGGTGAGTGAGGGAATGTTACAAAACAAAGGCTGCCTGAAACATCCCCAAACACACATCCTATTAAGTGGATCAGTTGAGTCATTTTCACATATGAAGAAAAGACACACTCATACAGACTTTTTTTTTTTAGCTATAAAAAGGGCTCAACTCCATTTGTAATCATTATGTCTGTCCATAGGTAGAAATAACTGAAGTTTACTATATGGTCTTGAATGTCAGTGCATTACACTTAGAACCCTGTACACCCTCAGCTCTTGCAGATGCCTTTTCTAAGTTCCTATGTAGCACTGACTTTGTTTGCTGTAGGCTTAGGTTTGGTGAAAGCTTCAGATCATGCCTTGGAGACCTCTCTATGGGCCACAGAGATCTTTTCCTCTTAGGATCCATCATCTGTTCATGCAATATAGAAAGAAGGGCAGTGACTATGTTTTGAACATAATTAGCTTATAAAAATATGTCCAGTTGGTTAGAATTTGACTAACTCTCTCCCTACTCATCAGCTTCAGGTTTTATATCTAGAGAACCAGATAAGGACAACTCTTGTTTCATCCTTAAGGTTTCTCGGAAGGAACATAAAAACAAGTTTCAGGCCAGAAATAACCTTAGCAATCATCTGGCTCAACCTTTTCATTTTACTCATCAGGACAGTAAAAGCCAAGGCATGTGCATAACCCGAAAACAGGATGCTAGTCCTTGACAGTGTTGCTAAAGTCTCATCTGCCCACTGCCAGATTGTTGTCAAGACCTGGGCCACCAGGCCCAGCCTCTTCTCCCATTCCCATTTCCTGCTGAAGTGACAGGACAGTCACAGATTAGTGGGATCTCTAAGGCTCAGGCAGTGTTGAATACCTGATTACACTGGCTCGTGTGGTCACAAGGTGTCAAAATGTAGTCACCAAATTTTGTTCTCCCAGAAACATCTCCCAGGCTTTCAAGCAAACGGTGTGTGCTCAACGCATTAATTTTTCTTGTCATCTGAAAAGTTCTTCCTGAGTTCTCAGCTCAAGTGGTCACTGTTCATGGCCTGGCCCATAACCCCGAGCCTTTGGGAGGGGGTACTTTCTACAGGTATAAAGGCTTATACTTTAGGCTGGATTTCATCACCTAAAATGCTTTTCTTTCAGTATGAGTTATTAAAAAAAAAAAAGAAAAGAAAAAAAGAATGGTTGCGCGAGGGGATAGTTGTCCTTGAACTATTCCACTTGTTTCTGTTCTGGTGCACATATCCCTTACCAAAGTTGAAAGAGTTACACACTGTAAATTAGTGTCAGATCTAAAAAAAAAAAAAAAAAAAAAAAAAAAAAAAAAAAAAAAAAATTAGTGTCAGATCTCTTGTCATTTAAATACAAGAGGCTCAGTCTTTCTTGCTTTCTCTTTCTTTTTTTTGGGGGGGGGTATGTAGGGTGGGGGTGGAGGCTCTTGCTAGATTCTAAGCTCTGTGGTCAGGCTTGGCCCACAGTAAGTGATAAACGAATTAACGGAAGCATTATTCTATAAAAGTTCTGTGGTTTAGAAAATCAACTACTGGGCTCTGACATAAAATTCTACATCTCGCACGGGACTTCCATGATTCCTAATCATCATTAGGAACCTGAGAAGGGAGCCCAACCCCATGTCCTAGCCTTGAGATGTAGTGGATAAATTATAACAAGGAAGCTTTTTTAAAATAAAAGGAAGAAAATAAAAATAAATAAAAGGAATCTTAGTGTTGATTTGATCCATTCTTCAAAACTACGAAACTTTACTAAGATCAAAAAGAGCTAGTAGCATATCTGGGCCTTAATGAACCTTCCTTGTCCCCAGTACTTTTCTTACTATATCTGACAGTCTTGCCAGGGACTATCATCACAAGGCAAAGTCAAGTTCTGTGACAATGAAGTCCTCATAGACCTAGAACAGAAATAGAAGATATATAGTATATATGTCATATACTTCCTTCCAGCGCCTGGAGAGGTCACTAATAATCATGACACTTTCCCCTTGGAGTCTCCCCAGGACCTCAGGCAGCCACTGCCAACCAATCAGAGTCGACACTCGAGATTAAAACCTGCCATCCCTGTTCTAGAGGAAGTGAGGATTTCAAAAGCCAATGAATTCTGGTCTTGACCTGTCTTCTCAAGATGAGTTGACCCTTCAACCAGGAACCTCACACCTTTTATTGTTCTTCACCATCCTCACGTCCCCCAAGGACTTAAAGGTGATGTTGCAAGAAGGTTTTTGAAAGCATGGGTCTGCCAGACAGAGCGGGTGCAATGATTAGTCATGACTCCAAGCCAGGCACAGTGATTAAGAAAAGCTAAATTTATATTAAATTATCATAAAGTCCTAAAATACTGAACATAGTGGTTAAATAACTCCAGAAAGTCCAATCTCTCCAGTGAGTAACGTTAAAACCATTACACATGAGCGCGGGAGAATCACTTCCATTAGTTTAGGACAAGAGAGGTTTTGCTTTTTACATAGTGAATCAGTGCTCAAATAGAGATTTCTTCAAATATGTCTTTTCTACATTCTGAACAGCCCAAGTGCAATAAGATCCTTCCCCCTTCCCAATCAAGAAAATGCCACTTTTCTACTTTCTCCTCGTCCTCAACCAAGAGTCTGAGGACCCAAAGTGCTCTTTTCCTGCCCTGTCAAATGTGAAATGTCTCCCTTTCATCCCATAAGTGGCACCTCGCCTTTCCCACTTTGTGTACTGGAAAAGACTTGCTGGCCTGGCCAGGCTGTCCTGTGTGGGCCCAGACCTAGCTTGGTTACTAACAACAGGGCTAAGGGCTTGGCACCTGTCTCTAGCAGCCTTAGAAGTGACCAGAAAAGCTTTGCTCTTATCTTTTTTTTTTTTTTTTTTTTTTTTTTTTTTTTTTTTTTTTTTACTCACATGTTTGGCAGCTGATTTCTCAATACCAAGAACCACAGGAGAGGTTTCAAATCAGGAAACTTCCCCTACAAGCCCTCGCCTCTCTTCTCAGCCCATTGTCCTCTCCTATTGCTTCTTGTTCCTGGGTGGAGGAGGTCTGGATCTGCTCCAGGCTGAGAGCGCTTCATCAGTGGTTCTACCTTTCTACATCCTGCCCCCTACGTTTGTGTCTTGATTTAGCCCTCCTCACCACCACAAGGCTAAGTCAGAAAAAGCAACTTGGGGCGGGGGGGTGGGGGGAAGGAGGGGGCTATGTAGAAGGTTTAGGGCTGAGAAAAAGGTCTCAACTCCCCTGATACTAGCACGAGACACACGCTCTTTGTGTGAATGGGCACGAACCAAGTGATGGCATGACAGCATGGAAAGTCAGTCACTTAGCCGGGAAAAGAGTTGGAATGGGAACTTCCCCACCCCACAGCCACAGGTTCTCTGTCCACTAACTTTGATCCCTGAGCACTTGAGAGACAACACAGGAGGTTCAACCTCATGGATACTTCCTGTTAGGCCCTGGGTGCCCCAAGTCTATAACCCAATCTCTCTTCCTGACCATTTATGAAGACTTTTGGCCATTTCTTTGAAAAGTTGTTTCACGGTCTCTATGCTCAGAATCCCAGAGAATGAGCGGGGAGAGGGTGGCGGAACATGAAGGTCCAGGTGATATGCGGCTTTGGGTCTAGACAGCGCTGGTAAGATGTTGCAAAGACTTAGCCCTCGGGGCCCCACATTCCTCAAGCCCCTGCTCACAACCTGGTGACTTAGAGTCAAAGACATAGGAAGGGTACTGGCCAGCAGTGGCACCAGCGGCGGAATTCATATTAGCTGCTGCCATGCGGTAAAGGCCTGTCATCCAAAGGTAGAAAAGCTTCCAGACAAACTAGCAGGAGGAAGAACAGATTGAGCCACACCCAGATCTCACCAATATCGGCAGCTGAAAAAAAAAAAAAAAAAAAAAAAAAAAAAAAAAAAAAAAAAACAACAGCAGCTCTTAGGGCAAGAATAATATCCATTGCCAGCAATGGACAGGACACGTGGCCCAACCACCCTAAAAGCTTTCTCATGTTACCAATGCACTTGAGGCTGGAGGCTTCCCAGATGCCCATACCAGCTGGGCTCACTCCTCCTTCCTCTCTCAGCCTCTATCCTTCATCTCTCTCTTTACCCTTGACCCCTGCCCCAGCCCCTGATGGGCAAGTTCTCTTAGAGAAGCGGCCAGGCTGGCTCTGACGGGAGAGAGGGAAGTCTTGGATCATCAGTTCTTGTGAGGCAGGGTACCAGGGAAAAGCTCTGTGCTGAGGAGGAATCATTACTGAGCCTAGTTTTGGGGGCTCAGGATGGGGTGCAAGAGGTGAAATTGGCGGTAAAATCCAGGTCTAAATTTTTGGGATGCACCATCATTTCTTGTGCACAGGTAGTTATGGACTCAGGTGGAAACAGCTCCCGCGGAGGACCCGGGAGCGGTTACGGGGTGGGAGGTGGAGGAGAAGGACGAGCACATAGGAAGGGGGCCTGTTGTATAAGTGAGCACAAGGACCGGAAGTCCATGAAGGAGAGGGAACAGGCAGGGAGGGAAGGGAACGACGGTGTTTAGACCTGGCTCTCTGAGGAGAGCTTGCGTTCATGTTTCCAGCCCGTGTCTGGCAGAGAGCCCCGTCTTTCAGGAGTGGCTGCGGTATGGACACTGCTGCACTCAGACTGCTCTTCCTGCAGCAGCTGCTCTGTCTCCGTGTCATCCAGGGAGCCAGAGCTGGCCTGGATGGACACTGTGTCTGTCTTCATGCACACATGATCCCGCAGAAGGCCCCCCCGTGAGCTGCGGAGTTGCTTGAGGTCGTCCCACTCAGCATCGTCCCCAGACAGAAGGCAGATTCCCTCTACAATCTTGATCTTCTCCTTGCTGTAGTTATGGTCAGGCCCGCCCTAGGGTGGAGGGTGGGGAGACATGGTCAGTCGGCTGGCTCTCTAAAAGGATCTCACGGTGAACCGGAAAAGGAAGTAGATGGGGTGAGAGGAGGTGTGAGGAGAGGAGGTGAGATCCCACAAACAAATGGGGAGACTTGGTCAGAGAGCAAACAGATGAGTTGGCCTAAAAGGAGAGTAGCAGCTAGGATGATTATTACCCTTCTCAAGACAGGGAGGAGGGAGAACCATGGCTTCCAGTCCTGCATCATCCACTCACTGGCTATGTCACCTTGGGCAAATTACTCAGCATCTCTAAACTCAGTCTCCACATCTGCAGTGTGGGGAGAATAACAGTATCCATACCTCATAACCAGTTGCGGTGAAGGTTCAATGAGGTGATACACATAATGCAGTTAGTAGGTGCTTGACACATAAGATACGTTAAATCATGTTAGGTATTGTTACATTGTTATTGTGATTTATTAATGGGACACCATGCTGATATGCATGGCCAAAAGTAATTGACAAAGGCAATTCAATGTGCATTTATTTGGGATTTTAAACTCCTCCTGTGCTCTTTTGTTCTTAATTCTCTTCTTCCTAATTTTGTTAAGGAGAAAACTTTTGGGAGGTAAGACAGGAGGAATCTAGAAAATCTCCTTATTTAGATTTTGAGTGCCAATCCTTTGGGACCCCATAACCTTTTCTGGGAGGTTACTCTGGCTCTGCTCCCACAAGCCTTGGGGCCATTCTCAAGCAACCTGGGATTGTTCCAAGGACAGCCTTAAGTTCTACTCAGGCTTCTCCCTTCGTGGATTTCTCAAAGAGGAGTCTTACTCCTGGTTTCCAGGGGATACCAACCAAAATGCCACCTCTACCAGGACACAATGAACCATGGCTGAGATTCTGTCCTGGGACAGTATTCCCACCGAGAGCTCTGCAAATGTTCCTCTATTTTAGTAGCAATTCAACTCCACAGATATTTACTGAGCCCCTGCATTAAAGAGGATACTTTGCTGATTGCCCTCTGGGAGTGACAGCTCCCTCAATAGAGCAGAGACAGACACAGATAGCACACAAGCACACATGTGCACGTGCGTATACACACACTCATTCCCCCAGCACACCCTCCAAGCTGAAATTAGCATAAGATTAGAGAGAGCCGTGCAGTGTCTTCACCTCAGAGACACGCTGGGTAAGCTAGGGAGAGGTGGGGGACACGGCACTGGCAGTTGGGGGGGGGGGGAGGAGAACACCACGCCCTCTACAAACACACTACAACAGGTACCTGAAATCAAGAGGAAATCAGAAGAGAAAGGGTGAAAGACTGTCAGAGGGGTGAAAGAGCTGCTGAGGAAAAGCACACAACAGAAGAAAAGAGGTCACACACTTGTAAGTTCTAACCTGTGAACCTTATTATGGTTCTTTTCTGGGGCATCAGACACTCTAGGAACCCAAGACTCAAGAGTCTCTCAAAGATACTAATTGAGAATGGGATCTACCATCCCTAAAACTGAAAACTTTCTGCAGGTTCTGTTTTGGCTTACAGTGGAAGCTCTTTTAATATGGAAACTCATGGAGCCAGAAAGCATGGGATTATTATGTAAAGTGCACTCATTATGCATGTGGCCCTGTAGAGATGAGGGCAAGTTTTGACTGTGCTAGACAGGCCAAGAGAGTAGAACGATTAGGGTTTCATAAAGGATATAACTTCTGATGAAGGGTTACAGGATTTTAGAAAAAGCAGCGGTTGTATTAGACTAGGAAAATCTGAAATCCCAGGCTACTGATTCCTTGTGGAAATGGGACTATTTTTCAAGCCTAAACACTCAGCAAATAATTTTTCACTGAAGCAACAAAGGAGTTAAGAGAGCAAAAGCATGTAAACCTTCAAAATTCTAGAGAAATCTCTTAAGATTCTGTGGTAAGAGGAAGAACAGCAAAAACATAAACAAAAACAAACAACAACAACAAAAAAAACCCAGCCATTGCCAGCCATAGGTGCCAACAACTTGGATCAGAGGTTAGAAAAGGGAGAGTCCAGGAGCTGTTGGGTTTTGAGGGGTATTGTCTAGGCGTCTGGGGTGCTTCACAGGGGCCTCACTGCAGGGGAATGATGACTAAATGAGGAAACACCCATGAGCCTAGTAAAATATCTCCTGGCAGGGAGGCGCACACTCCCATGCTTTCAGACTCAGACCTTCTGGAATCTGCTTTCTAACCTTGCTCTCACTGAGGTCCCTCAAGCCGGTCCCTCAGAGAGTCTACATCTGTCCAGAAACCCAAATCACATTCATTTCTTCTGTTCACTATGACTTCCAAAATGGTAGATGGGACTACCCGGCATCCCTCACTGATCCATTCAGGCAACTGGAGCGTATCCTTCCCCCGCTCCAGAAACAAACACAAACAAACAAACAACCACCTTGAATATAAACTTTAATTTTTACCTCTTTCTTATAGCACAGTTGATTGTACATGGCTGGTTTCGGGATTGCTTCAATTTTCACTTCTTGAGTGGAAGTTCGGTAGGAAGGGTTGCTGTAGGTCAGGTTTCCCATTCCCGGGTCAGTTAACTTGGATTTTTTGTGTCTTTAGGAGGAAAGGTGATGAGAAATTAGTTCAGATCTTTATCGGGGTGATATCTGGGGAAGTTGTAACCTGAATGTGATAGGCAGCTACTAAGACAGCTCTAGAGATCCTCGCCTCCTGCTTCTCCCACCTTCTGAATCCCTGCTCCTTGAGTGTGGGCCGCACCTGATGATTCACTCACTTCTTTTTATTTATTTTTTTATTTTTTAAGTAATCTCTACACCCAAGGTGGGGATCGAACCCACAATCTCAAGGTCAAGACTTGCACCCTCCACCGACTAGGCCAGCCAGGCGCCCCTGGTGATGTACTTCTGAAGAACAGAAAATACAAAAGTGACGGATGCTAGATTAGGTTCCAGAGAAACATGTGGCTTCTGTCTTAGGTTGCCCATACTCTCTCTTATGCTAGCTCCGGGGAAGCAAGCTGCCAAGTGGCCAGTTGTCCTTTGGAAAAGCCCCACAAGGCAGGGAACGGATGAGAGTGACCTACAGTCAACAGCTGGCAAGGAGCTGAGACCCTCGGTCCAACAGCCCGTGAGGAACTAAATCCTGCCAACAGCTACACGCATGTGCTTGGCAGGGAATCCCTCCCCGGTCAAGCCCTGAGATAAGACCACAACCCTGGCTGATACCTGGACTGTAGCCTGGGAGAGGCCCTGAGGCAGAGGCATGCAAGTAAGCTGCACCCAGATTTCTAACCCACAAAAGCTGTGAGATAATAAATGGTTGTCATTTTAAGTTGCTAAATTTGGGAATAATCTGCAATAGATAGCTAATCCACTGTGTCAAGACAGATCTGTGTTTCAATCCCACATCTGTTACTTACTAGCTGGGATCTTGGTAGACATAATCTAAGCTTTGTGAGCCTCAGATCCTTATCTGTAAAGTGAGGAGTAATAATACCTGTATTATGTAGCATTGATACATATTCACTAAATAGTAACGGTTACTATTATTATTAGTGTTGTTGTTATTGTTGCTGTTATTGTTGTTGTTGTTGTTGTTGGAAGCAGGAGCCACAGCAGCATAGCAAAATCCTGGTATTTTTGCTGCAAGCTGTGTTTAAAGCATTTGGAGAAAATATACAGAGGGTCATAAAAAGGATTCTAAACTGAAAATGACACACTCCACCTTCCCAGGATGATCCCTACTGAGCAATGACATATCAAACAATATTGGGGTAAAGGCCGTGGTTATGTGAAGAGAAGATCATTTCCACCTTCGGTGGTTTGAGGTGAGGCAGAGTAGAGGAAAAGCAAAGATGGCAGCATCAGTCCCAGCTCTGTCTCTTCCCGTGTGACCTTGGGTAAAGCCCTCTGTATCCTCGTCTATAAAGAGAATCCCGAGGGCTGCTGTGGTCCTAATATCAGAAACCTGCTTGGGCTGTGAATGGTGAAGAAGAATCAGAGTTCAGGTTCTACCTCGCTCTGACCAGGGACCTTTCTTTGACATGAGTCTGGTCAGAAGTTAGATCAGCAAGATGTGGAGCTTCAGGAGAGCACAGATAATGAGGACCAGTGACCATGTGTCCCCTGCAGCGAGGCTGAGGTTACCTGTACAGCATCAAAGCTGCAATTGCTACCAAAATCAGCAGAATGCTGAGGAGTCCACCGATGACGTAGCTGACATGAAGTCCTTCCCCTAGAAGAACAGAGAGACACTAGGTGGGGGCCACTGACAATCTTCCAGCTGGCGTGAGGGGTGGGAAGACGAGGGTTCCTTTGGTAGGGGTTGGATCCCACACCACCTGAGGATAGCCAGGGAAGAGGCCGCAGGGGTAAGGGCAGGGGGCTGAGAAGAGATCTATGGTCCTATCTCTAATCCCAATTCCAATATTTACTACCCATGTGACTTAAGGCGAGATGCTTAACTTGAAGCCTATGTTTTCTCATCAGTTAGATGAGATAGTTAGATGAGCGATAATAAACCGCTCCTAGCCTGCTGGCAATGACACGTGACTGTGTATATACATATACACACATGCACACGTGTGCACGGGCACACATATATACAGCTTAACAAATGGGTGGCATATGGAAAGTACTCTGTAAGTGGTGGCTAACTAATGATTGTTTTTTCTATGGATTCAGTCTGAGAAATGGGTTTGACAACCCCAAAGAGTCCCTATGAAGGTTTTGGAAGGTATCAGTGGAAATTCGGATTCCTTATACCTTCTTTTCTAAAACAGTAGGGCACTCAGGGCTCACCTGGAGCAGCAGGTATGGCCTCATTGGAATGTGCACAGAGGCCCAGCCGAGCATCCTTTTCAGAGCATCTGTGGGGCAGAGAAAACTGAATGTGAAGGTTACTTGTATTTGATAAAGACCTTGCCTTCCTCTAGGAAAGAGGGAAAGTCCTGGGAAGGACAGGGGGAAAGACTTTTGAGTGGGGCTTACTGATATTTGATTGTACTTGATGGGAGACATCAGAAGCACAGACCAGGAAATACAGAGAAATCAGTGTGAGTCACTGTCTTCGGGATGCGATATCATGTTTAAATGAGTTTTAAAATATGTACGCTTATTATTTTTATTTTAATTTAAAAACAATTTTTAAAAATGTTTATTTATTCCTGAGTTAAAGAGAGACAGAGTGTGAGTGGGGGAGGGAGAGGGAGAGAGAGAGAGAGAGAGGGAGACACAGAATCTGAAGCAGGCCCCAGGCTCTGAGCTGTCAGCACAGAGCCCGACGTGGGTCTTGAACTCACAAACTGTGAGATCATGACCTGAGCCGAAGCTGGACACTTAACTGACTGAGCCACCCAGGCACCCCAAAATATGTACTCTGTAAAGAAGATTCCTCTAAAAAAGGAGAAGCAGGTCTGGAAGTAAGCTAGAAGTCTGCTGAAACAACACTAAGGATATCAATAGTAGGGTTCGTTAAGCTACCAGGATGAGCTGGAAGAAACTACCAGCCAAGCAAACCTCTGACTGGATACAGATTATCACAAGGTCTAAATAGACCTTGAAAAAAACCCTGTTTTTCTTCTCTTCATTCTTTCAAAAGAGAATATGCAAGACATCCAGAGGGAGGGATCAGGGAACCAACTTGAAATGCTAAGGAGGTAATTTCTTTGTGGCACATTATGAACAATCAATTAAAGGCATCTCCTGGGGTGCCTGGGTGACTCAGTTGGTTAAGTATCTGACTTTTTTTTTTTAATGTTTATTTATTTTTGAGAGCACAAGCAGGGGAGGGGCAGAAAGAGACAGACAGAGGCTCTGAAGCAGGCTCTGTGCTGACAGCAGTGAACCTGATGTGGGGCTCGAACTCACAAACAGCAGGATCATGACATGAGCCAGAGTTGGACGCTCAACCAACTGAGCCACTCAGGTGCCCCTGTCTGACTCTTGATTTTGGCTCAGGTCAAGATCTCATGGTTGTCAGATACAGCCCTGCAACGGGCTCTGCACTGGGCCTAGGCGTGGAGCTTGGTTAAGATTCCCTTTGTCCCTCTTCTTCTGCCCCTCCCCCTGTGTGTGCACATGCTCTCTCTCAGAAAATAAATAAGTAAATAAATAAGGCATCTCCTAAAAGGCTAGAGAAAAGCAACTTGCAAGAACATTTGAAACCAAGATGCATGGAGTCTTCAAATAGACTGTGACCCTAAGAAAGTATGTGAGTAGGGTTCAAAAGTTTTCTAAACTATCCTAAAGAAAATCAGATTAATCATGATTGATAGTACTTAAAAGTTAATGAGAAAAATACATGTTTATATCTGGGTATTTGCTTTTCTATACAAACTTCTAAAAAGAGAATATGGGGCAAATAGGACAGATTTGCTCATGTGCAAATGTTATAATTTTATTTTATTTACTTTTATACCCCCAATTCCAGTTCTAAGACTTTCTTTACTTTTTTGTAAATGTTTATTTGAGAGAGAGACAGACAGACAGAGAGACAGAGTGTGAGCGGGGGAGGGGTAGACAGGGAGACACAGAATCTGAAGCAGGCTCCAGGCTCTGAGCTGTCAGCACAGAACCTGACACGGGGCTCAAACTCACGGACTGTGCAAGATCATGACCTGAGCCGAAGTTGGCCACTTAATCCATTGAGCCACCCACGTGCCCCTATTTAGCTTATTTTTTAAGTAGACTCTACGCCCAACATGGGGCTCAAACTCATGACCCTGAGCTCAAGAGTCACATACTCTACCACCTGAGCTAGCCAGGCACTGCACAAATTTTATTATTTTATTTTATTATTTTATTTGTTATTTAACTTTCTTTTTTCTTTTTTTAAGTTTATTCATTCACTTTGAGAGAGAGCATACATGCGTATGCGCACATGCTCCAGCAGGGAAGGGGTGGAGGGAGAGGGAAGGAGAGAGAGAATCCCAAGCTGACTCTGCATTGTCAGCGCTGAGCCTGATGTGGGGCTCAGACTCAACCGTGAGATCATGACCTGAGCCGAAATCAAGAGTTGGATGCCTAACCAACTGAGCCACCCAGAAGCCCCAAATTTTATAATTTTAAAGACATGAATCTAGAGTTCTCCTCTGGAATTATTATTATGTTTCTGCTTTCAGAATTGACATCAAGTGTTAATTATCTTTTAAGCTAAAGTTGATAATAAAAATAAAGAGACTGGTATATTACAATGGAAAAAAAATGTTGTAAATAGAAAAATGTCTGGAAAGATAGACACCATTAATCAGCCATAAAAAGGAAATTCTGCCATTTGTGACTACATGCATGGACCTTGAGGACATTATGCTAAGTGAAATAAATCAGAGAGAAAAAGACAAATATTGTGCAATTATCACTTATATATGGAATCTAAAAACAACAACAACAACAACATCAATCCCAAACTCATAGGTTGCTGCTTGCCAGAGGTGGAAGGTAGGAGGAGTGGATAAAATCAGTAAGAGTGGTCAAAATGTACAAACTTCTAGTTATAAGTCCTGGGGAAGTAATATACAGTATCGTGACTATAGTCAATAATACTGTATTATACACTCGAAAATTGCTAAGAGAGTAAATCTTCAAAAGTTCTCATCACAAGAAAAAGACTTTGCAGCTATGTGTGGTGATGGATATTAACTAAACTTACTGTGGTAATCATTTTGAAATGTAAACATATATAAAATAGAAAATATTAAGAGTAACTATACATGGGTACTTATTTCTTCTTTATTCCTGGCTGCATTTTCAGATTATTTTTTTGCAAGGCATAAATAAAAAACATAAGAATTTTTCTAAATTGAATCTAATATCATATTTAATCAATTTTAAGATCTGTATTGTTCTCTATTCCAACATCTCTGGAACAGGAATGTGTCTTACAATCAGTGGCATCTCATAGTTGAGGTTGGTCATTTTTTCAGTTGAAGCTCTCAAATCAGGATGCATCTTTTTTTTTTTTTTAAGGTTTTATTTATTTTTGAGAGAGAGAGAAGAGTATAAGTTGGGGAGGGGCAGAGAGAGAGGGAGACACAGAATCTGAAGCAGGCTCCAGGCTCTGAGCTGTCAGCACAGAGCCCGAAGCAGGGCTCAAACTCAAGAACCACGAGATCATGACCTGAGCCAAGGTTGGAAGCTTAACTGACTGAGCCACCCAGGCGCCTCAAATCAGGATGCATCTTAAATGGATAGCACCATCAACTTAATTAAATGAAACATTTTATACTTGATTTGAGAACTGTTCATGTTTATGCTTGCTTATTTAATAATAAGGTGTGTGTATACATGTGTGTGTGTGTACACGTGCATGTACGTGCATGTGTGTTTGAGGTCATTATAAGCTAAGGTCATTACATCCCTGGGGATGTTCCAAGTCATAAAGCCACAGCCCAGAGACCACTATGACTTGGCAGCTTCTAAGCAAACTGTAGGACAAGACCATATACTAAATGTGTTATGAGAACAAATGTCACCGAAAGGAAGGATGAATGCCATGTAGGAACTCCTCTGAGTGATTTCTCTCTCTAAAGCTGCTCTTAAAACTTCTCGCCCTCAGAGCTAAAAAGAGATCCACTTGCAACAATCTACAAGTCTATATATCATCTCCAGTTCCAAAGAGCAGGGACGGGTGGCTCATGATGTGACCTACTCCCCATGCGCCAGAATTATCGAGCTAAGACTGTGGTCTTCTGCCGGTGGAAGATGGTGATTTGGAGAAAAGAGCCCTCAATCCCATATTGAATTCACTTACCTTCCTTCCACCTCCTCCAGAGATGTGTGGGTCCGGGTGGTTGAGGAACGCAAGGTGGTAGGAAGTGTGTTGGGTAGCACAGGGCTCCTTTCACTTATGCTGGTAGCCCTGGGAGCTGGGGGCACTAGACCAGGTACTGAAGAGAATAGGAGGATTGAAGTGAGCCACTAGAGCCCCAAATCTCTACATATGATTCAAGAGTCGCATCCTGGGTTACCTGACAGAGCCATCTTATAGCTGCCTTAATCCTATGCATCCTCATTAGAGGCTCTTCATACTGTAAATAAAAAGGATTTGGACTCCAATATTCAATAGCTCTGGATGGGCTAGCTGGTGCACAAAGGTCAGGAAAAGACAGCAATTCACAGGCCACCGCAGGGATCAGAGATTCAGGAGACCTGAATTCCATTCTTGTAAATGCCAGAAGCTGGACAAACTCAGGTCTGTGCTATTCCAAAGCTCAAACTCATTGTTCTCTCACTCAGCTGTAAGACTCCCCGAGGGGGATCCCACCCAGAAGGACAAAACCGAGGCTAATGATCCTCTGCCACTCCAAGGACCCTGCTGTTCCAGGGCGTCATTCAGTCCAACTCACCAAGGGAGCAGGGCCGGCCATCGGGCTCGTCAGGACAGGCACACACGAAGTCAGAGGCTCTGGCAAAGCAGAGGTGGGTGCAGCCTCCATTATTCACACCACAGGCATTGGTCCCTGGAGGCAAAGCAGGTACGTGTCTGGTCTGGGCTAGAATCGGGTCTCCCAATTTGACACCTCTCTTTAAGGAGGAGCTCCACGGCTACCTCACTCCAAGGGACAGTAAGGCAGAAGGGGCATAACCACATGGGGCTGAAAAGGTCTAAGAGCTTAAAATGGGAACCAAAAGGCTCTCCTGTGGCTCTAATGTCTCAGTCTGTTAACTCAGGGACTATTAATACAGTCGCTGGGATGATCAACCACCCCACTGATGGTAAGGAAGCAAGCAGGCTCAGGACCCAGGGGCCCACCTGTCTGCCGCTGAGGAGAAACCACAATGATATCCATGAGCCCTTCCACATTTGCCAACACCGTCTCCTTGCTCCGGCCTGAGTACTTGTCGACACGCTGGATTGACTTGGTCTGCCAGTCTGTCCAGTAGATCCACCTGTCCTGCTACTCAACAGGGAAACCCCATAAAGAGTAAATATTATTCAACAGTCTGACCTCAGGTACAGCTTCTGTGCTTTAGTATGTGTACGCCCTCTGCTGAAATGCCCTGTGTCTCTTATCCAGCATGCCAACTTCCGTGTGTCCCCCATATCGCACTGTCCAGGAAATCTCCCCCAGTCCGTATGGGATTCATTCCTCCATGCTTTTCTGTGCCTTCTACAAGTGAGTTTTGGCACTCCACGGTCATTTGTTTACATGTCTGACATGTAAGATTAAGTTCTTCAAGGACAGAAATGTCTTTCATTTCTTTCTCAATTTCCAGTACTAACACTTCATCCCCAGTCAGTTAACTGAGTGGCTCAATGAATAAATGAGTTCTTGTACCTGGCAAATAGGAGTAACTTAGGGCCAGGGGGTCCTTCTAAGGTCGCTGCTCTTCTGGGCCCTTCACAAAGAGCCCTGGCCCAAATCCTCTGGTTACTTCTAGGGGAAGCTACCTTCTGAAAATGTTTATTTATTTAGGGGCCCCTGGGTGGCTCAGTTGGTTAAGTGTCTGACGTCAGCTCAGGTCATGATCTCACAGTTGGTGAGTTCGAGCCCCACGTCGAGCTCTGTGCTGACAGCTCAGAGCCTGGAGTCTGCTTCAGATTCTGTGTCTCCCTCTTTCTCTCTCAAAAATAAATAAACATTAAAAAAAATTTATTATTTTTTTTTGAGAGAGAGAGCATGAGCAGGGGAGGGGCAGAGAGAGGGAATCCCAAGCAGGCTCTGAGCTAACAGTGATGCAGAGCTCGAACCCACAAACCATGAGATCATGACCTGAGCCGATACCAAGAGTCGGTCGCTTAACCAACTGAGCCGCCCAGGTGTCCCTAGGGGAAGCTGCCTTCTAATTTAGTGATCCTGAGATTCTCAACCAGGGGTGGGGAGGGCAATGAAGGTGGTTCCCCTCCTGCTTCCAGGTATACATCAGAAACCCCAGGGGAAACTTACAGATTGAAAAACCACATTCATTATCATCCTATAGTTTTACATTTGGAGTACGGGGGTGGGGAACTTATTGTTAAGTAGAGCCAAACTTTTATTGGCTGGTAGGATATAATATACAAGACAGATAAGTGGAGGTTTGTCAAAAAAGAACAAGGATTTTTAAATAATTGAGAATCCCTGTTGTGGCTCCAGGCTTGATAGATCTCTTTCCCTTCCCTGAATTATTTTACAAGATAAGAACTCAAAAATGATAGCCAGTGATAATTAAAAAGATTAAAAATAACACACACTGAGTGCCAGATACTGTGCTGATGCTTTGTGTATATTTCAGGAGGACACTATTATTAAACTCACTTATTTTACAGGTATTAGAGAGGTTCAGTATCTTATCCAAAGTTGCAGTCATTCAATGATGCAGGCAGAGCTTGAACCCATGGAGCTGGCAGATTAGAGGTACTCAGTAAGCATGTACCAACTGGCTGGCTGCCTCAAAACTCTGGCTCTTAGCCACTGCAACCTACTGCCACGAAGCCAGCTGCCTGGACTCAGATATTGGGAACACAGCACTAGGATCAACTACGGACCCTGTTAAAATGCACATTCCTGGGCCCAACCCTCATGAAGTAGATTCTTTTTATGCCAAGGCCCAGGAACCTACATTTGAGAGCCACTCCTTCAAATGCTAGAACATGGAGTGGTGTTGCAGGAGTAGCAGGCACATGGTGGCAAGGCTTCAGTGTACAGGAAATACCCCTAAAATGAGCTTCCGTAGCAGGATCGTTAAGTAGCAACTAGGGTTGAGGCTCCCAACTTGGAACCCCAAGGAAACACCCCCCGTCAAGGAGGTTTAGTTACCTCTCTCCTGAGCCAGTACCTGAGTGAGAGCAAAGGGGTGGGACACGTGGCTGACTAACACCTGCCGTAGCTTCCCATTGAGGTCAGAGCTCTCAATCCGGTCCAGATGGGCGTCCACCCAATAGATCCTGAGAAGGAAAAGTGAGAAGAGGGCTGCTCAAAATGCTTGCCAAGAAACCCAGTCCTTCCCCACAAGGAGCTATCTGTTCCCTCCTGAGCTAACTAGTAGGTGCTGTGAGTGGTCATAAAGCACCCTTGATGAGAGGTCATTGCGAGTCCCAATGCTGAAGAGGGGAAGCTGGGGACTCAAATGCGGGGCCAGAGCTGTGGGGGGTGGGGTAGAGAGCCTAGTGACCTCTGAAGAGCCACCCTGCAGGCTCATCTTCAGCAACCTGATCACCCTTTGACTCCTTCCCAAGAACTAAGCCGAAATTCTTATGAACACTCTTTAAGGAAGAGATCTTGGTCTATAAGGAGCTCATTGAGGTTATCCCAACTCTCCAGGTGACTTAGATTCCTTTCCCTTCTTCTGGGGGCAGAAAGAGAAACTGCCTCAAATCCCCTTTCACCCTCTTTTCCTGCCCTTTAGCATTTTTTATCTAGGCAAGGAGTTGCAAATTCCAATGAGCAAAGGGATCAGAAAAGCAACAAGCGCAAAAAATCAGCCTCCGACAAATAAGGGGTCATGGGACGTGTGGTCCAGCCAGAGGACGTGCTCTGCTAAAGACACTCAAATCAAAAACATATAAACCACACAAACAAAATCCATCTGGGGATTGAGGGCTGTATTCAGCAACCTTTGCTCTAAAAATATGTTCCCTCATCCTTCTCACTGCTTTTTCCCTCCTCACCTACCAAGGAGCTTTCTATTTTTCTTTTGTTTTCACTATCTGAATCTCAACCATCTTCTCCTGTGCCCACCCAATTTCCAGAAAGCAATTGGGACAGGATTCCCACCTGCGGGTATCATAGTCCAGGGTAAGGCCATTGGGCCAACCCAGGTCTGTGTTGATGAGGACCTTCCGCTCAGAGCCGTCCAAGTTTGCCCGCTCAATCTTGGCAATGTGGCCCCAGTCTGTCCAGAAGAGGTACCTAAGGTACAACACTGCCATCATCACCAAGGCATGGGAAGATGGTACCAGAGGTTGACAGAATACAGGGGACACGCTGATACCATGAATACAGAGGCATCTTCCAAGGGACCCTTCATCAGGCCCTTCTTCCCTGGGTCTCTTTTCTGCTGGCCATAAACTTACCCCTTCCTGGGGAAAACGGCGATGGCCCGAGGCTCATCCAGGCTATTGTTGATCAGCACTTTGCGGCAGGAACCATCTAGCCTTGATGCCTCAATGGTATTTCGGCCCGTATCTGTCCAGTACAGATTCCTGGCCACCCAGTCTACTGCCAGCCCGTCAGTGGTCTTCAGGCCACGCCCGATCACTGTCTCCATGTTGCTGCCATTCAGATCTGCTCGCCTGAGGGAACAGCTCAGGGTTGGGTGGCTGACCGGACTGACCAGAAATAGACTGAAGTCCCTTTAATCCATGTTCCCATAATTGGATCCCTACTAGAGGCTCCAGAAGGGCAGAGACCACATCTCTGTAAGTACATTCCTCAGCATCTAGAACAGTAGGTACTCAAAATATTAGCAGAATTAATGAATAAAAAATTCTTGGGAGGACAGAGTATTTCCTGGTATTAACAGTGGATGTTTGGGCCCATGTCTTACAGAAGATGGGTTAGTAATTCCCTATATACCTTAGGGATAAAGATTGCTAGGTGATAATTGTAAGAACGGCAAATTTGTCAAAACCTACCTGTACATTTTTCCATTAGCCCTACACCAGGGTGGGGGTATGTCACAAACATTTAGGGGACTTCTCTAAACTATGTATTCCCACCTGTCCCCAGCATGAGACCCTAATACACCCCTCAGAGATAACTGCAGGGAATGCCCCTATTCTTTCACGTGAGAATCTCTGTCATGGTAAACCCCTCACACTAGTGGGAGGAATCACATTCCTCAGCTATGGTGGGGTAAAAAAAAAAATGGAAGGAATAATAAAAAGTAAAATAAAACAAAAAATATTTTTAAAACCACAAAAACACAACCTTGGAAACCATCACAAGCCTTGGCATTTGGCCAGGGCTCCTGTATTATAATATAGATACATGGTTTAGTTACATGGCCTACTCATCAATGAGTTTTAGGGGATCCTTGGAGCCCCCACAGGGCCCAATGGTGAGGTAAACGCTCCAGGTCCCCAGCCCGACATGTCCATTTTACATACTGGGCTTCTCTGCTAATCTGGAAACAAATAAGCAAACAAACAAAAACATCAAATTTAAACTCTGTTATGAGTGATAAGCAAACAAGTCAGGATCAGAACTCACTATCCAAGCTGCCAAATCACTCAGTCTATTTAGAGGTCAACAGAGATCATAACCTCACCCCGTCAGGGATCAAACACAGATCTGTGTCCTCTGGAGGTTTCAGGGATATTCCTACCTGATAACATCCAGGAATACATCTGTGTAATAGACCTTTCCATCCACACTGTCATAGTCCAGGGAGATGACATTGTTGAGCTCAGGGACGGGGACGTGCACATCTGTGTGGTCGCTGGTGTCCAGCGAGATACGCCGGATGGAGCCGCGGCTGGAGAAGAGTAGGTAGGTCTCGGGAGAGGGATCACACGTCTTCCCATCTCCCTTCAGCTGGATGCCAGTGGGGCAGGCACAGGAGAACCCCGAGGGCCGAGGCAAGCAGAGGTGGGAGCAGCCGCCATTTCTAGAGCCGCATTTGTTAAAACCTGGTGAGGTGAGAACATGAGCTTTGACACCCAGCCTGGAATACTGTGGGAATCTTACAAGGGCCCTAGTTGCCTGATTCTCTGCTGTTCTAAGTGACAGAATTTGGCACCCAACAGGGATGAGGTAGAAGAAGTCCTTTGAAGGTGTGACAGCATCATGTAGTTATAGCACCAGCCACACCCGGAAGGAACAAAGCCTGATCCAGGAAGGGGGGTTAGGTAGGTCTTTGTCTCTGAGATTCTAAAAGGATCTCTGTGCTCTGGATGTATCTCTGTCACTGAGATACCGC